TTAGTTTCATTTTCTACGAATGAAACTGACCTCATTGTTTTACCAAACAAAGAATTTCGAGAACTTGGTATATAAGTTGTCGAAGTAACACGAATGCAATTGAATGAAATTGAAAGATTTCCTTGGTATCAAAATCAAAGCGTTTTGATAACGAGTGAGCAGTTGAAAAGCTGTGTAGAATCTTCGCTTTTTTCCCAGTTTTGTGCTGCATTATAATCATAATCTTTTCAGTTCTGAAACTGATAACCGTTGAGTAATCATTGTAAACATTTCGATGTTCTAATTTCATACATCTCAAATTGATGAATAATAAAGCGAAATGAAAAATAAAGCGAGTTTCTGAAACTGACAAACCTTTATCTGCATGGAACACACRGTCAGAAATGCCACACAAATCTATTCATCTGGACACAGTTGAATGGTTTCATACTTCGTCTTATTGTAAAATGTAACTTTTTTTTGCTGGATTTATTTCCATCAAATTTGTCCGCCACGAGACGAAACAGAATCTGCGTCGCGTGAATGAATATCTTTGGATCTAATTAAGAAAAATATTGATTTGCCTTGATTCTGAATTAAACAACAATGGAAACCATAGAAAAGAGTGAGTTGCTGGATATTGGAGGATAGCAAAAGAAGGGTCGTGATCTTGCCAGGATTTCACGCAAGAATCTAAGAAAAAATTTTGGCTTTACGTATTTAGATACAAGGCAAAACTTCAAGCTAGTATCTCTGCTTGTGTATAAGGTTTATTGAGTCTTAATCTTTTCACGAAAATAAAAGAAGAAATTAACGCGTCATGTATATTTCAGGAGGCGAATCACCCCTCACGCTGGTTCATAAATTCACAAATCACGATCGCCATTCCGTAAGATTCAAGTGTCACAAATTAATTTTGGCCTTAATCACGCGTCACGTGTACACCCTTTGCCATTCCAGCTCCTTTTGAAAGTCTGTTTTTCAGCTTTTGTTTGATACTCCAAAGCAGTAAAGGAACATCAAAGTTTTGCGCAACTTTAAAGGCCGGTTACTTGCAGTAGGTCTAACCCAAACTGCGGTTTTACGCAAGCGGTGGGCCTAAAGGGGACGGAAATGACACCAAATAGTCTGCTAGGTTCCAAAACTTCGTTTCGTTTCATTATGATGAAATTCTCTTTCTCCCTCTCTCTCTATTCTCTCTCTCATATCTAAAAATATAATATAATCCAGTTGTTCTATTGTTCAAATCATGTCTCACCTATCGCAAACTAACCGGATGTCAAATGGACGTTAATCAATCTCTGACACACTCCGCTGTTTTTCTCCACCTGAGAAAAACACTAGTATTGCACACTCGATAAATTTGAAATTCAATAAACAAAACAGTTCCGTGTTCCAAGGTATCTTTAATGAGCATAATGAGCATCAACGTTCGCGTCTCGAATGCGACAGCGTGCGGCTACCACTGTGTCCCTTTTGGGCCGGAATGTCGGGGCTTCGGGGTTGAGTCGTAGGGGAGCATGTATATTCTCCCGATAGCAAGACAGTTCCAATGGGTAGAGGTGCTGTTGGGCTCGTTCGAGCGTTCCTTTCCCATTCGAAGTTTGTCAGCTTGAACGATTCCGTCTCGTCCCAAAATTAGGTCTTCCACGATTCCAATTTTCCGTTGGTCGCGATATCGTTCCTCGTCCTTGATGAGGACCCCTCCCCTTTTGCTAAGGATGAAGTTCGTCCCTTGTGTTTTCATCTGGCGTCGTTCTCTCTCCTCACATAACTATTCGGTTGTCCATCTTAACCACAATGCCTGCTTACACTTTTGCAGATTCTTGGCTCTCTTCAACGGATCTAATCCTCTTAGCTGGTGTGGTTCCAGTTCTGGTAGCTTATTTGATCGAAGAAATAACAGTGTGTTAGGGGTTAGCACCTGTAACTGTATGTCGCCTTCGAAATAGCATAGAGGGCAGTTGTTCAAAGCTTTCTCTATTTTCAGGACCACTTCACATAGTTCTGTCCAGGTCAGCATTCCTCCGAAAGTCTTGTTTAAAGCTGTTGTCACTGATTCAATGACGGGCTTGAACTGTCCTCCCCACTAAGCGGTGCGCCTATGGTTAAATTGTCACTTGACTTCCTTATGTGCTAGGTAGTCTTGTACCTTCTCGTCACACATAACTTGCCAAAGCCACTTCTCGTTTCCGACAAGGGGGAGACTCATTTTTGTTTGTTTGTGTTCACTTGTGAGCTTTTCTTCCAACTGCGTCTATTTTTGATCCAAAATAAGGGGGAGAGGGCGGCACCCCTATGCCCCTCCCCTAGATCCGCCACTGAACACCGGTGAATCGGTGGGGTGATGGCCATATTATTTCTCACCCTAATATTCTGTCTCGATTTCTCTGCAAATTCATTTGTAAACGGTCTTCTTGAATTTTCCAGCACGAAGGTGCTGGCTGTTGAGCTCCCTCTATCCAGAACGTTGTCTGTTCCTCTATTGCTTCAGTCGTGAGGGGACATACGACTCTCTGTTTCCGACAGGTTCTTATTTTGAGGAGGAATCCCGCGATCCAGGCACTTACAACACATACCACAACTCGTGTCTCTCGAGAAGCTCATCTAAAGGTGTCGTTGCTCTCTGTTTTCGCTACCGCCAGGGCAAACAACTTTCGCGTTTGTTTTAGTTCTTCCGATTTTGATTCATAAATTAATGCAGTTATTATGTCTGGCGACTAGTCCTGTGGCTATGATAACCAGCTTGGTCCCTGCCACCAAAGAGCTGTCAATCTGCTAAAATATCCTTCTTGACTCCTTACGTCCTCTAAAATCTCTTGTGTTGATACTTATCTCCATTTGATTTGTCTTTCTTGGATCTTCCTCACTCGATTTTCGACGAATTGTTTGTATTCGCCGTTTCCACGGATCCAATCTGATTCAGTGCTGGGCTGTTGTGCT